CTATTCTATTCTATTCTATTCTATTCTATTCTATTCTATTCTATTCTATTCTATTCTAGTGAGGCCATATACACATGCATCATAAATATAATATGCTTTATGATTGTGGTGCACTAGTTCTTATATTTAAACATGAAATGGTGTATCTACTAGAGAAAAGATTCTACTAGAGAAAAAGAAAAGTATCTACTAGAGACTGTGGTTCTGGTCATGGACATTGTGTTTTAGTTGAGGTTTTAGCATTTCATTAGCCTCTTTGCCTGCTATTGCTGCTTATATTCATCTGTCTTGCTTCAAAGTGAAAAGTATTTTTATCTTTCTATCCGATATAACTTAAACTATGGATCTTTTCCTTAGGCATTCTGGAGAAGACAACAAAATGCTCGTATGTGATACATGTGACAAAGGGTATCATACTTTTTGTTTACAACCAGTTATGGATTCTGTACCAACAAATGGGTGGAAATGCAAAGTGAGTTTAAATTCAGTTTCCTAGATTTAGATTTAATGTGGAATTGAAGTGCAGGCTGTTTTAAGGGCAACATTCAAGAAGGCTGTAAGAGTGGTGCTTTTCCGCAAGCCTTTTTTTATGGAGAACTCCTGCTACTCAGATGGCAGAATGGGATTTTATTTACATTTTTAATTGAGTATTTGTTATTATTACTATTATTATACTGCGTGGTAAACTGCCAAGCATCTTTTTAGCAGATGGCATACAAATAATTGTATAAATAAATAAACTTTATTTAACAGAAGATATAAATTGCTGAGCAGGGGGCAATAAAAAAACGTTCTATATAGGTGCACTGTTAGTTGACTGAAGGTTTCTGAGTTTTGACTTCTGATTAATTTTAATAATTTTTAGATTTAATGTAAATATGCTGGTTGATTACTGTTTTTGATATCATAAAATAATATGGGTAAAAGAAAAAGCTTATTTTCTTTGACTTCCAGAACTGCAGGGTATGTGCAGAATGTGGCACACGGACCAGTAGCCAGTGGCATCACAACTGTCTTATGTGTGACAGTTGTTATCGTCAACAAGATAGCCTACCTTGCCCTTTCTGTGAAAAATCCTCCTATCCAAACTTGCAAAAAGAGAGGTTGCACTGTCATATGTGCAAAAGGTGAGAAGCGCAGTTTTTGTTCCACCTTGACTTAGTCCTCTGCTTGTTGTTAATGGTTTCCAAATCATTTCAAGGGGAAATGTTTTAGTTTTCTTTGGTGCTTACTTGTTGCATCCAATATTGATCTTCCTGAAAATTTCCCTTCATTTCTCACAGAATAATAATATGCACAAGAACTGCTGCTAATGAGACTCAGTGCTCAAGCTCTCATCAAATTCTGTAGAATTATATTCTATAAAGGTTTAACTAAGACGCAAACAGTTGGCTTGTTATCATTTATAATGGAACTTATTTGTTGTTAAGAAATTAGGTGTAGGTGCACACAATGCTCTTTTTCTCCACTAGTGAGCTTGGCATATTTTATCAGTTATCCAAGTAAAACAATAAATATTAAAAGGTTTAATTTGAAATGGTCCAAAATGTTGAAAGGGCCTTTTTCCCAATGAAACTATATATCAGTGGAAGAGTTTAACAAATTAATCTGAATTTAAACCTATTGTTCCCTGCAGGTGGATACACATAGGGTGTGACAAACCTCCTGACAATGAACTGGATATTCATTTAAAAGAATATGTCTGCAGTCTTTGCAAACATTCAGATGTAGAACAAGAACATACACAAATGTGTGACATGATGGAGACTGACCAACTTCTTCCTGGAGTTGGCACAGGTAAGCGCCTACCTCTTCTTTTATCTCTTATGTCTATTGTTGAATCTTCATCTGAAATCGACAGACCTCTTCCTATTCAAGATTATTGCTGCAATAAAACACAGTAGTTTGTTAAAGTCTATATTGCTGGAATTCCTCAATAAAAGTTTCCAGAAAGACCTCTCAGTTTTAGCATGAATGCATCTAATGCTTCATTTTTCTTCCCACTATTTAACTCAAGCCTAATTAAGAACCGTTCCCAGCTTTTTAAAAAGGTACAAACCTAATACGGGAACACAGTTCGAAGCAGAATGGTATTTGTTATCAAAAGTTCTCCCCATAGTTTGAATGGGAAAAAAAATAATAATTCAAGCCTGATAATGTCTTTGCTTTTGTTTAAATCTATGCAAATGAAATAGAAATAGAAGATGGTCCAGAAGATGCAGCAAACAAGAAGCAGTTAGTATCTGAGGGTAGCCTTGATCAAGAATCAGTGGTTGAGTCTTCTACAGATAGTAAGAGCACCCTTTCTTTGGCAGCACAAGAGCCTATAGGTATGTATATAAAATGCAATCAGAACTCTGAAATACTTAGAAAATGTAACAACATTTGAGCAGCACATTCTCTTTTTATAATAATAAGAGATTTAGAAGTGGATAAGGTTATTATTCCATGGAAACTGTATTTTGTATCAATATGTAATCTACAGTCTTCTGATGAAATACATAATACAACAACTCTTTATTACAGCCAAAGGCCAGAGATAAAAGGTATAACTGAAAGAAATAAGTAATAGAAAAATAGTTGTTAGGCAGTGGAGTTAATAACTTATTTCTGGTCTCTTCTTCTCCAGGTTGAATTTTTTCTGTTTATTGTATTCACTGTAGAAGAGACTCATTATTTAGGGAGCAGGATAATTTTTTAAATTATTCATTTCTTTGTTGGTTGAATAATTTCAAAGTATACATTATAATTTTATTGACTTTTTATAATGATATATAAAAGTGAATGAATGGCATTGCATAATTTTGTAAAATAAATTATTATTCACTGTTAGAATTATGGCAGGACTAAAAAGTGAGAACACTTCATGAGACAGTGAAAATTCAGTAGGACTTTTAAGAAACTCTCTGTTTCTTAAATTATGCCAAAGAGTTGTTCATAAATCTGAGATGTCACAATTCAGTTAAACTGTCCCAATAAACAAATAGGAGGATCTTACTCAAATCTGTTTCTGAGCAAGGTAGATTAATAAATAAATTACTACTAAAATAAAATACTTAAAGTATGCGTTTCAACCTACAAGTTCAGTAAGATCACTAGCATCTGAGTTAATTATTCTTCATGATACATGCTTCATGCTGTAAATTATGATAACTTAAAAATATATCAGACTTAGGACAAGTATGATAATTCAGACTAAAGGTATCTGTCTAATTATGCATGAAATATTCTAGAAAAAGATAATTAGTGGGAATTTCTAGTTTGCTAAACTTGACACTAGAGATTATAAATATTCTGGAGCAATAATAATAAAAATATAGTATTTATATTATGAGACCCAGTTTGGTGTAGTGGTTAAGGCACTGGGCTAGAAACCAGGAGATCCTGACTTCTTGACCCACCTTAGGCATGAAGCCAGCTGGGTGACCTTGGGCCACTCATTCTCTCTCAGCCCTAGGAAGCAGGTAATGGCAAACCACATCTGAAATCTTGCCAAGAAAACTGCAGGGAGTTGTGCAGGCAGCCGCCAGACATCAATAATGACTCAAAGACACTAAATTAACTTGAATTGAATTGAATTAATATTATTACATTACATTACATTATGTTACATTACATTACATTCTGGAATATTTTGTGGTTGTGATAAAAATGCTAAGTGACAACATTTGTTTAGGAAACCATGAATGAAAGTAGCCTCCCAATATTTTACATATTATCCCCTCTCTTTCTTCCTAAATACCCAGGAGCAAGAGTTTGGAAATTTTTGCTTTTGATTAAATCTTGATTTGTTATATAAACTCAGAATTAATTTTAAATATGACAAGTTTAAAGTAGCGAACTTCATTAATTATGATTTGAAGTAAAGCTTGGGTTCTGAATTCATAATTATGCTAAAGGAAAATTGGGAGCACACAATTAAAGACCAATTAAGGTGTGGACATGACATAAATTTATACAATTATTTTATGTCAGTGGAAAGTGTTCTCCTTTTCATAGTGGTAAAACTCTGGGCTATTTAATTGAATGGACATTTATTTGGTAGGTAAAGATAAAAGATATTTCTTATATGGTATATAATTTGTGGATTTTTTTGTTATAAGTTGTGATAAACTAATTCCTAGCTAGGTTAGATAAATATATGAAAGGATAGGTTTACCAATAATTAGCAGCAAAATGCTAATCGGAACCGTGTTTTCATAAAGTGTTACAGAACTGAAGTTCAGAATTCAGAAACAGTGTGGACGCTTAGCTGCTTGCACTTTCAAGCGTTCAGGAAACCAACTAAAAATGAAAACTATTTTTCGAAAGGATGATGCTTTCTGTAACAGTGCTGTAGTATGAGACTTAAATACCATGTCCTCATTTGTTTCAGGCCTTTCATTAGATGAAAAGAATTGTGAACTGGAAACACAGGTTTCCAATCATTTTGGTGAAGAAGAAGGGGAAACATCTGTTAAAAATACTCCTGCATCTGATAGCAACCACACTGATAAAAAGAGGGAAACTTCAGAAAATATTCCAGAAATAACACAGCAAGTATCAGACAAACAACCTGAAGAAACAAAACCATCACAGGCGAGCACTGAGTTGGCGGAAATGCCCCCAGAGGAATGTCACCTTCCTATGAAACCAGAGGATATACCCAAGGTGCCTGAAACTTTTGTTTTAGTCAATAAAGAACCAGTCTCCAATCCTAAGGAAACAGTATCTGAAACAGTGGTCATTCTAGAAGGTACAAGTGGAAGAGACACTCCTGGAAATGGTGAAATGTCATCTCTTCCTGCGAGTGAAAGTTGTGCAGCTGACAGTTCACCGTTGGCAGATCCAGCTTTAAAATCATCACCTGAGATATTTTCTTCATTTCCACCATCTGTTGAAATAAATAAATCTTCTAGTGTGTCTTCCTTGCCAGCAACCTCACCAGAGTTAGGCTCATCACATGAGATGTTGCGATGCCAGATGTCATCACTAGAATCTTCTGCAGCTCTTCCAACCACATATGTATCACTCACTCCAAAAATTGGAATGGGAAAACCTGCTATCACTAAAAGAAAATTTTCTCCTGGGAGACCAAGGTCAAGACAGGTGAGCACATTGGTTAAAACCTATTGGATCTTAATAAGAATCATTACTTTGGCTATGATATAATTGGAGATATTTGTTCTCCCTTTTCTCTGAAACTGAGATTGTGGCATTTAAGTATATTACTTTACCAATAATTACCAAGGAACAAACATTTATAGTATTAAAATGGAAAAATGCTCTAAGCTAATAGCATTCTGAAAGTCTAAAGATAGACCAAAATGAGAAACTGCTTTTAATTCAGATCTGAAAACACAGTAGTATAAATCACATCATCATCATCATCATCTTTTTTTTTTTTTTTTGCTACTGCTTTCTCTTAGAAAATTAGGGATAATTGTTATTTACCAATTTTGCCCAAAGTGTTCTATTTTGGTTTTTGTGTGTGTGTTTATTCCAGGAGAAAGCATATTTTTCAATATTATTTTTTGGTTTAGGCTGTTTCAGTATATAGAGCAAGCCTTTATTTCTTGCAGGTAGTGATTGCAAGCGTTTGTAATACAGCTTATTTAACCCAACCCAGCACCTTGCTTGCAAAGATAATTTATTTCACTAGGGATTTGGGGAATTTATCCATAGTTCTACATTCTAATCAGCTTTATTTGATTACTTTTATAACCTGCCATCAGCAAGAGTGCTCCAGGCATTAGATTAAACTAAATTTTCATGAGTAAAAATAGACTATAACGTACATGCCTCAATTATAATTTGTTTCTTAAACAAAATTATCTGTTTTTCCCCCCTACTACTAATTTACAATGAAGTACCTGTTACCATCCCATTATTCCTTAACTCTAAGATGAGTCTATTGCAGTATTTAAGAATTCAAGATTGTACAGTTAAAACACTTGTTCACTACTAATCATATCCATGCCAGGCCAGATACTATTCTACATAGAAACTTAAACATAGTCTTAATTGTCTATCAATCAAGATTATGATACTAAAGAAAGCTTAGAATATTTACAATATAAAATCTAATTCCTTCCATTTTTGGTGGTATTTCATCAGAAGATAGAAGCTCTTTCTAAATAATATCTTAAAAAGAGATCATGATATAATTAAAAACATTAAATGTTATGTTATACTTTTGAATGCACCGTTCTAAAAAGAATGCTCTTTGTCAAAGATCTTAAGGACTGGGTGAGTCAGTTTCCTGATTAGGTTTACCACGTAGGCCTAAATAATACTGTTGGCTATGTATGAAGTATTAACTGTATTAACCTTAACTACTGAGGATAGTAAGATTTAGGGCTGAATCAGACAACATTAACCATTATAAGAATGGTAAGAATGGCTTAATTTTAGTAAGCCGCCGTTCTTAGTATCTCATCAAAAACTCTAATAGCTCTAATACAGGTTTTCTTTTCCTGCCTTTGAGAATCTCTGAAGATAATTGGCCTGGTTAGGTTGGACACCAGGTCATGGTTTGGTGCTAGGAGAATACGTTTTGCAGTCCTATACCATTGTATCCCTTATGTCCTGGATTTGGGCAAACCATACTTTTCTATTGTGTCTGAATTGCAGTCATTGGTTCATAGAAATCACAGGTTAACATTATATCTGAACTGGTCCTAAAGACTCCAAGTCAGGCTTGAGTCATGGAAGCTATATAGGTATGTCCATGCAGTTTTCTTGGAAACTATGCAGAAATGGTTTGCCACTGCTTTTTTAAAAAAAATTCTGAGTCAAGCTTATGCACATAAGAATAGAATATGATTACTTAGCAACATTCAATGAAATAGAGTCAGATTGAGCTGATGATAACAGTTGGAGATAAAAAGCCAGAGTGACCCAGATGTTTAACTAGGAATGGAGGTGGCAACTTTTGCTGAGCATCAACTTAGTATGGATAGGAGTCACTATCTCCATTTCTAGATAAACAGGCCTAAGATTTTCTGATGCTCTTTCACTCACGTACTAATCAAGTCTGATCCTGGTTAGTTTTTTTTTCATTACCAACCAAAGTTAGCTAGATGCTGCCACTTGCTTTGTCTTGGCCTTATGTGTAAGAGATCCCAAATAGAATGATTATCCTCTAAATGCACTTTTTATTTTTGACTTCCCAGAACTATTTATCTTTAAAGATCTGGTTGCAAAATATATAGGAATTAATTAAGAATTTAAACCCAAATGATTGTGGCTAACACGTAAAGATCTTGAATCTTGTTACCATCTTAATTTCTAAGTCACAGTCACCAGTAGTTGTTGCCCTTGTTCTGGAATGATTTTGTAAAAATAAAATGGGCCCAGTTAATTCATAATTAACTAGGCCCAGTAATTTTTGTAAGAAACAGTTGTTTTAAAGATTTCTGCCAAGGTTGGAGTTGGGGGATAATATATTTGTGTGTTCCTTGTGGATGACATCTCTGAATCTGACTCTCTAGCTTAATGTGAGGGATGGATTCTTACATGTAAAGGTTATTTGGAGTACAAGTATAAGAAACATTTATATCAAACTAATACCATGAAAATATATGTGAATACAATCTTTATTTCTGAATGGTGTGAAATAAAATATATTGGTTACTTTTAAGACACATAAGGTAGTCATGATTGCTTATTAATTTTATTTGATATATAAACTTAATAGTTACATATGTATTTAAAATAGTGCTTAGATCACGTACTGCTCAGAGATACCTTAACTGGTCACTTTTTTTTTCATGTTCATATTGCACCTTTTATTTTAAATGTTTTTTGTCTAATATACTTAACATTGCTGGTTAATAATTTTGTTTTAAGTGACACATCTAATCTACTCTCTCCAACTTGCAGACTAATTTTAAGTGTATTAAAGATCTTACAATAACAATAGGCACAATATCCCCAAACTGACACATCGTGATTATTACTGTAAAAATCAAAGTTATAGCCAAACTTCCACTGCATCTTTTTATTGTCCAATAATTGTGTTTATTTCCTATCAATGTTTTATATTTTATCTTCAACCAGATGTTTATCTACAATGCAACTTGATGTTTATCACTTATAGATGTGAATGTTTTATACATTTATTTTCTCATCTTACATATCTAGGGTGCTTGGAATAGCCATAATACAGCAAGCCCACCTTCTTGGTCCCCGGACATTTCAGAAGGTCGAGAAACTTTCAAATCTAGACAACTACCTGGCAGTGCCATTTGGAGCATCAAAGTGGTAATTAATTTGTATTTATACTTATGTGATCTTTTGCTGTCTGTTATTGTCTATTCTAAAATATACTTTTTCAGGTGCAACTGATCTGTTTTTAAACATCTTGATTTTTAAAAAAATAACTAACTGCATTCTATCCTATCCTGTAGGATGGAATAGCAGTGCCAGAATAGGCAAAACACCACATTGAGTCAGTTTCTAGTTCAGGGAAATGCGGTACTTAATCCTCACATGGGGCATATAGGACATCCTCACGACAGCAGAAGCCAGAGATTTGGATGTTGCACTAGAACAAACTGCAGTTCCTCTGCCCCAGAAGGTTGCATCCTTACCCTGTTTAAACTATTTATTCCTGTACAAAAGAATCCAGATTAAATTATTGAAACACTGAGGATAAATCAGGAAGGGACCAGAGTTTGTACTCCCAGCATTTGTTCAGTCTTATTAAACTATGATTTATCAAGCTAGCATAGTTAGGTCTGTGCTAACTTACAAATAAACATTTTTATGTTTGAATTGCACTATTGTATATAAAGTATTACTGCATACTTAATATATAGTAAACTATATAAAAATATTATCCTGGTTGTTAATTTGCAAGGACTTATTCAGTTGATATATGTATATTATATGAATAGGTTATATTGTGTAAAATATTCATTCTCAAATTCTTCATATGAAAATATTCAGCTTTGTGGTGGATATTGTTATGAATATTCTTCTGTATGTGCTTTCAGCTAATAGAAATGAATTATTTGCTTTTTTTGTATTATATCATTGCCTGTTATTTAATTAAGGACAGGAGAGGCAATGATGGGTATGGATATGATTTTGATGAAATTGTGGAGGGAGAGCCATAATGAGCTTCTGGAATAAAGGACATTGTCATAATAAACGAGGGCACTTAAAGAAGGATGCAACATTCATAGTACTCTGTAAGGAAAGTTCTGCTTATTTCTGCAATTTATCTTATACAAATGATCATTTGAAAAAGTACATTCAGGATTCATGTATTTAAGGAACATGTATTAATATAAGCTCCACAAAGGGTGTTTTGATTCTGTTTAACTTTCTGTATTTAATTATAAATAGGGTCGTGGGTCAGGATTTCCTGGGAAGCGGAGACCACGAGGTGCAGGTCTTTCTGGAAGAGGTGGACGAGGGAGATCAAAATTGAAGAATGGAATTGGATCAATTCTTGCTCCAGGGGTAAGAATCCTTTACACAGCTTCTTATGTTAATTAGACCAAACAAATAGTGCCAAAAGTCATTGCTGAGAATTTAAGGTGTGCAAGGGTGCACGAGAGGCACCATGTGGGTCGGAGAGGGTGTGCAGGGGTGCAACGCGGATTGAGGAGGATGTGTAAGGGTGTGTGAAAGGCACCGTGGGAATCAAGGAGGGTGCATGGGGGTGCGGTGTGGGTTGGGGAGCATGCATGGGGGTGTGGCGTGGGCAGGGGTGCAGTGTGGGTTGGGGAGGGTGCTTGGGGATGCAGTGCAGGTCATGGAGGGTGCACTGGGTGCCAGAGTGGCTAGCACAGCGCGAGCACAGAAGGTGAGAGAGAGTTACTCCAGTGACTTGCAATCTTTCCTACCGGTTTCCCCTTTGACTTTCTGGGGAAGCCGGCATGGAAGGTTGGAAATGGCAATCATGTGATCACCCATTGGCAAGTGCGAATGGGTTGCCAAGCACCCAGATCACAATCACGTGGCCATGGGGGTGCTGGGATGGCCACAACTTTGAGGACCGGTTGTAAGTCGTCTTTTTCAGCACCCACTTGAATGGTCACTGAGCGAATGGTCATAAGTCAAATCAAAGACTACCTGTATTCAGCAACATGGCAATAAGTACATAATTTAAATGCAAAAAAAATCTTTTTTAAAAAATGAGCATATCTTTCTTCAGCATAAGCACCCATTAATCTGTGAATTCCTTTTTATTCTTATTGTGTTTGTTTATATTTTAGAGAACTTTTAAGTTTAGGAATTACAGTGAAACACTAAGCCTGTTTGCAAGTTGAAATCCTCATTCAACCCAAAATGTAGTCTAGGTTCTGTCATTAACCTCCAGTGTAACTATCTTACATATATAACTGAAAATAAAATTGGGAAAGGGCTGTGTACGGTGCCTTGAGCTCTTAGGAGAAAGACAGATGCAATATTCTGAATGTGTATTAACTCCTTTCTATAAATCTGAAATAATTTATGTTCTATTGTGTAACAGAGTTAAAAGCTGGTAGTAAATTGTTAAAGTAATTCTTCTGTTCTCTTTTGCAGGTCACAGATATGGATATCTCATCCAGCAAAGATGAAGAAGAAAACTCCATGCATAATACTGTTGTCCTGTTCTCTAGCAGTGACAAGTTTACTTTACATCAGGTTGCAATATTCAGATGTACTTTGTTATCTTCTGTGGAAATCATTATTATAATTTTTAATGACTTTCTTGGAGAGTATTCAGACAGAAATCTCTTCTCATCTGCCCACCCCTGCCCCAAATCCCTAGTGGAGGGAATACTTCATAAAATTCTAGGCACCTGCTAAAATGAGAGAGTGCGAAGGCAGTCCGTTCCAAGGCTTTATGCTTCCCAGTCCACCCAAGAGAGGAGGGTATTGATAAGCCCTCTGTATATCAGGAAGAGGGGAGGATTGACATTAGGCATGTATTCTCATAAGCAGCTGCCTGATTTCTTTCTTCTGAAATCCTGGCAAGCCGCTTATCTGTCTTCCCTGCAAAGGCGCAAAAGCAATCTTTGCGTTGCCTCCTTTATCATGGGGACAAATGGATAATTTCACAACATGCCCCACAAAGAGAAAAACTGCAGCTTTAGCCCTTACAGCCGATGCCACTCTATACCTAGTGTCAGTTGCAGTGAAGGGGAGCAGGAAATAGTTGTGGAAAATATAACAGTTATGAAATCTCTGTTTTCGATAGATTTCCAGAAACAGCTCTTTCACGGATGCATTTCACCATGCCAGTGTCATCAAGTCTTTGGTTCTGTTCAGCAGATTTCAGAGGGCTTTTTCTTTTTTAAGTCTTGTCCCAGATACACTAGAGCAAAAAACGTGGCTTTCCTGATTGTGACAGCTTACTCCATAATTCTGATTTCCTCTTTCAGTAGAACAACGAAATGCCTTTCTATTTAAACAATTATTCTTTTGTATATTAAACAAGAAATTAATTTTATTGAACATGATTTTAGTGTCTTACAGTGGTTTTCTCCCTCTTACGTGTCCTAAGTCTAAAATCAGCTTCCTTCACAAATATGTGAAAATTTTACAAGCACTATTGAATGTGTAATAATTTATACAGGTTATGCTAGTAAGTGAGCGCTATGCATCTGAACTTCTGGAAGGACATAAGGGATAGAGATGATATATTGCCATCAGATGCTCAGGGCGGGGTTGGTATGCCTGACGCTGCCTTTTATTTGAAAATATCTGTTTAATATTCTAGGACATGTGTGTAGTTTGTGGGAGTTTTGGCCAAGGTGCAGAAGGCCGACTACTTGCCTGCTCTCAATGTGGTCAGTGTTACCATCCGTACTGTGTAGGTATTAAGGTGAGTGTTTTGAAATATGTATGTTTGTATACGTGTTTACCTTTAAAGCCCTGTGCAGCTTGGATCTAGGTTACCTGAGAGAGAACGCTCCCTTTTAGATCCCACCCCACCTGATGATCCCATTGAAGTCATTTCACAGTGACTTGGAACCAAGACTTTTTTGTAGCTTCCCCAGGTCACTGGAATGCACACCTTGCTGAGCTGAGAAATACTTCGTTTGCTTTTCAAAACATCTCTCCTTGATAAGTTTTCTTAGTAGTTGTTCATGTAAATTCATTTTTAATTTTTAGATTTTAATTTGATTTTATTATTGTACCTGTATTGTAGATCACTGAGAGAACTTAATAGTGGCCAGTAATCAAATATAATTAACATTATCATCCTCATCATCCAAATCTGACACTAATAATGTTTTTTTAATCTTTTCCAATAATCCTTTGTAAATGTGACTACAGTTTGTTTGCAACTTGCAAGATACTTTAATAAATGACTTTCTATACATGCTAGAAAAATGATTCTGCAGCTATCAATTATAATAATTACCTTGATATAATGTTATATCTTAAATATACTATGCATAACTGTCCTTTACTGATTAATAGCAACTGGTGCATTTATTTAGTGTTTTACATTTATGGGATTAAATCTGGATTGTTAAAAGTTGACTTATGCAGAGAAGTTATTTGCTATACTGTATCAGCTATAAACTGTTTTTTCAAGTGTGGTTATTTTCAAATTTTCCATACGTAGGAGTGTTAAGTTAAACGCTCCTGCGTATGGAAAATTTGAAAATCTGCATATATTCTATGAAAGGAATCTTGTGTTTTTAGAAAAACACAATTTAGATAACACTTTGTAAAGGAATGCCAGTAAAAGATGTTCTACTTGGTATTGGAAATCAAAGGCCAAATTAACTAGCATGGATGACTCAGCTTTTGTGCAAAAATTTTAAAACGTGATTTAAATACCTTTAACATTTCAACAAATGGGATGAAAAATATTTTGAAGAAATCAAATAATTTGGCATAAGCATGAAAACTTCCAATATTTAAAATATCCTTTACTGTCAAATTAGGAAGTGATTAAGGCACTTTAAAATCTTGCAGTCAAGATAAAGCAAGGGATATATTGCTGGATACAGGCAACGTTGTAAGCATGGAGACCTTTTCTCTCCAGACAGTCACTGTATACATCCAACTGCCTCAGGAAACTAATGTCATTTGAATGGTGTTGATGGGCACTAGGATTTCACCCTGTGACTGAGACTAAAAATAAATGTATATCTCTATTTCCCTTTCCCCATTACCTTTTAGCAAGTCTTAGTTGTTGTTTTTTAAAATTCCAGATTGGAAAAATACTTATGACATATTTGACATTCCTGGAACTGACAGTTTGTAAGACTATAAAGGTTTATGCAAGGTGTCTTTGAGTAATTGTGTGCTCTCTTCTACTATGCAGATTACAAAAGTGGTGCTCCACAAAGGTTGGAGATGTCTGGAGTGCACTGTGTGTGAAGCCTGTGGGAAGGCTACAGATCCAGGAAGGTTACTTCTGTGTGATGACTGTGATATCAGCTATCATACTTATTGCCTAGATCCACCACTACAGACAGTTCCCAAAGGAGGTTGGAAGTGCAAATGGTGCGTGTTTCTCTGTTTATGGCGTTTACTATCAATATTTTATGGGTTCAAATCAAATCTTTATTACGGCCATAGACCAGCATATTGATGGGGTTTTTTGCCTGACTGAAATTTAAGCATGCATTTCAGTGAAGTATTGGAGATGCCACAGTAAAAGCAAGCTCATATTTTAATTAAAGTTCAAATAATGTGAATGGGAAAATCATGCATACCCTCCTGTAATTGAGAACCCCAAGCATAGTAATGCACTGGAGCCTAAGTTGAGAATTAATTTGGGAATGCTTTGGAATTTGGTGCTAAAGATCTAGAGGATGTACGCTGCCTTTTAACATATATGCTCAGGCCATGGATCTGGGTGACTTAGAATATCATGGTAACCATGATGACCATGAACATTTGCAGCCCCCTAGTACATCATATTCTGGATTTAGTTTGTAGGAGTTCTGGCCAAAGTGCAGAAGTCCAGCTGCTTGCCTGCTGTCAGTGTGGTCAGTGTTACCATCCCTACTGTGTAGGTATTAAGGTGATTAACAACGATCATTTGCAGCCCCCAGTACATCATATTCTGGATTTAGTTTAAACATCCAATCAGGGTCTTTTTAGTGGTGACATGTGGTTAATTTTAACTGTTATACAAATTGATCAATGTTTCTGCTATTGGATAGTACAGAAATATAAGGAAATAGTAATACAAAATAAACGTTATTCATGTTTTGTGTTTTGAAGGTGTGTTTGGTGCAGACACTGTGGAGCTACTTCTCCTGGTCTAAGATGCGAATGGCAAAATAATTACACACAGTGCGCTCCTTGTGCAAGTTTATCTACCTGCCCAGTCTGCTGTTGCAATTATAGAGAAGAAGAGCTTATTCTGCAGTGCAGGCAGTGTGACAGGTTGAAATTTCTTCTACATGGGGAATTAATATTTTTTGTACTTTACTCACTTGTTCACACTATGTTCCCTTATATTTGTGGGATGAATTTTAATTAACTTTATCAAAATGGTTCTTTAAATTCAGTTTCTGTTCCCTAAGCTACAAAATAGTTCAGTTTTCCTCATAGTATTTTCCTCCTTCTCAGTCATATTATTGGGGTTACAGGGATGAGAGGAGCATGTTCTTCAAATTCTTGGGTGACCTGAAGAAATTTTGAAGAATATTCTTTAAGAAGACATTGATTATTGATTGACTCTTAGCAACCACATAAATATTTTTTTTTCATGACAATGTGTCATTAACCTGGTCTTCCAATGGTGCACCCATTGCCACCATAACTCAGTCCAGTTGTGGGCGCCATCACAAAATGGCTACCAGGGAACAAAATAGCCCCAATAACAAACCCTTGTTTTATTTTTATCTTTGTTTTACTGTCATAAAAAGCTTATGAAAAAGAAACATAGTTAATATTGAAATAGGAAAACACCAGCTTGATTTTTATGCTTCTCATTCTTGTAGTAGACTTGTAGCTAGCACAAGAGCTGTGCAAATAAAAATGCTCCATCCTGTGGAAGCAATTTGTACTTCCAGTGGCAAAGATGGATGAAGAATTCCCTCCAGATGATGAACCTATTTTTTCCCAAGACTATAACTCTGTTTCATATGGAATGAATGACAATCCCTTGAACATACAAATCACCAATTTAAAGTGTTTCCATGGGTCAGAAGGTAGTTGATAAAATTAGCAAGACCCTCTTGGATTCATCTTTTTTATGGTCCAACATTAACTTCATAATCCTCCTAACTTACCAACAAAGGCAAGAAATGGAACTAAACATCACCTCATCCCACCCCAGTGACCTCAATCTGTTGTTATCAAAGCAACCGTGGATGTTAAAACATCTACTAAATCTCAAAAATGTGACTACTCCAGATTAAATTTGAAAAAGCTGTGAATTATCATAAGATTTTGAAGACCTCTCATGAGATCTCAGCAAAATCTTGCAGGAGTTCAGATTGCTAACTCTGACATATATGTTGAATTCAGTTTTTGAAACAGAGCACAGAAGTTAGAAAATCTGAGCAATAGTTCACCTTCCACCTCTCAGCATTCTCGAATCAGTTTCCCAGTTAGAAATTGATCCACTGTGTCAAAGTGTCTCATTTTCCAGGTCTCAGCAGACTATCCAGAATAACCTGGTTTACGGCAGCAAAAGCTGCTGTGATTTTGACAAAATTAACAAGAACACTCCTCTTTTTCCTGGTGTAAGTAATCCATCAGGGGATCTTGAACCAAAGAAGTCTAACCAAAAAGCTCAGTTAAAATACATTTTGAAATTCAGTATCTCTGAAGAGTGCTGGAATTATATAGCAATCCCCAGCTCAAGTAACTTGCCCCAAAAGGAATTTTAATAATTAATTTAAAAAGCATCTTCTGGGTTTTTCAGGGACCGTTGTCTTATTCCTCTGCAGGGACAATACTGGTATTGCATTGTAGAATTGTATGTGTTTCAATCAACCCCTTTGCCATTTATATTTTAACTTTCAGATGGATGCACACCGTCTGTCAAAATTTAAACACGGAGGAAGAAGTGGAAAGCACAGCAGATAATGGTTTTGACTGCACCATGTGTAGACCGTATATACCATCAGCAAATGGTAAATCCTCCTCCTGTTTGTCTAATAACAGTGCAGTAGGGTTTATTGTAAATCTCCTCTCTGACAGATGTTGAGTTAACAAGAGAGACAGCACTTTCTTTTGTTTAGATTTTTTTCTTAATGCTGTATGATCCGTAATAGAAAATGACATTAAAAATCTGTTGTTCCGATAGGTTGTCAGTTATCTTAAAGGCATAATATTGGAAAAGAAATTAAATATGTGTAAGAAGGACTGAAAACTGAAAATTTTAATAAAAAAAATAAAAATGTTAATAGAAATAATAAATAAATTATTTGAAGTAACAGACGTGAAGAACTACAGGTTAATGAGGATATCAGCATCAAAATTATGCTATTGAGGACTGCTTGACCTACTTAATTAAATTATAATTTTCATTGTTTAATTTCCTTTTTTCCAGTGCCTTCCTCTGAATTCTGTGAATCATCCATTGCAGCACAAATTATATCAAAAGCAAAGGAACTTGGTAACCATTAAAATTTTTCATTCTCTCTAAGTTTGTTTCTGCTAATAATTCACTGTTGAGGCTAGAATTTGCCTTAAAATTGTATATAGTAATCAATACATATTTGGCTCCTTTTAATAGTTGGTTTTTGTTAACTATTTCATTTTTCATTTTTAAACCCAACTGATACCTTTCAGGAATAAATGTGCAAGTCCTCCTTAATGGAACAGCTTTGATGTTAAACTCCTTAAGTGAGCAAGATACTTTACTCAAATGGATGAATCCTGCCCTTTCTATGCCTGTCCTTTTAGCTAAGATCTTTGGAAGGTAGAAACATAATTTGACCAAAATTAGAGTGATTCATTCATTCTTTATCTTTCCCCCCAATCCATTTATAGTACAAGTTATTATTCTCTGTGTATATGTATGTCCACTTGTTATGTTGAGTTGAATAATGTGTGAAATAGACTCTTTATAAAATCACAAGGAAAAAATATTATAATTTCTTGCTGGTTTTCCCCTTAATAATTAAAGATTATTAAGATTATTAAATAATTATAAAAATATTATAATAATTATGCTGGCTTTTCCCTTTATCTAATATTAGAACAGAGAGTCTTCCATGGTGTAGTAATTGCAATATTTTTAAAACTGGGGGAGATGGGTGGCATATAAATTTGATAGATAGATAGATAGATAGATAGATAGATAGATAGATAGATAGATAAAAATAAAATCTGGAAACTGTGCTTGTAAACAAAATTACTAAAACTGTAAATTCCTGTTGTGGTTCATGCTAATTTTATAGACCCACCGAAGACATACACTCAAGATGGCGTCTGTTTGACCGAAACGGGAATGTCTCAGTTACAGAGCATCAGCGCTATTGTACCAAGAAGAAAAAGGGCCAAGCCAAAGCTGAAGTTGAAGATTATAAATCAGAATAGTGTCGCTGTCCTTCAAACACCACCTGATATCCAATCAGAACACTCAAGAGATGGTGAGATGGATGACAGTAGAGGTGATTGTTATACGTTCTTTTCCCGTTTTATTGAACTGTTTGATAGAGGGGCTGCACATGCACTGTGGAGGAAGAAGAAGAAGAAGGAATTTATAGAACAAATCCAAAGCACAAAGAAAAAGGAATTTATAGCAGGAATGATAGCTGGCTTTAAAATTGTATTGGTTGACTTGGGAAATGAGAATAGGAGCAGGGCTTACAGGTTTGGTGCATAGGTAGCTACCTATGGAATCACTCCCAAGAAGAAGATAAAAAATTCAGGAAAGTAGTAGTTACAATAGATCTTCATGGCAGAAGGAGGAATGGAGGCTGCATGGACATGAGCTGGGATTCTCCAGAACAAGTAAAAGAAAGCTGATTCTTGATTATAAGTTCAAGATTTGTTATAGCCTGCAAAAATCAGGGTGGCAAATGAACAGATGCCCAGGAGAACAAAGGGAGGAAATGACTACTTATTGTTGATCAAAATGGTGCTTGACATTGGCAGCAGCTCTCAGAGGCAGTGAGTGATACTGTATAATTTTTATTTGCATGAATACAGGTAGTCCTTGGGTTATGACTACTCATTCAGCGATCGTTCAAACTTGCAACAGCACTGAACGAGGGGGACCTATGATAGGTCCTTGGAGTTCTGGCTGTCACAACATCCCTGCAGTCATGTGATCGCAATCTGGGTGCCTAGCACACAATTGCGATGTCACAGTGAGCTGTGGTCATGTGATTGCGATTTCTGACGTTCCTTGCCAGGAAGCAAAGTCAATGGGAAGCCAGCAGGAAGTTGTAAGTTGCAGTCACACGAGGTCCTCATTTTAACCACCCGTGTGGTCCTCTCTTAATGACAGTAACTGGAGCTACTTTTGCTAAGCAACACGGTCACGTGACATCGCACTTTACAATGGCAGTTTCGGGCCCAATTGCTGTCATAACCTGAGGACTACCTGTACATGGGGAAATACAAACTTTTGTGTGGCTAAGTGCTCAATATCCCAATGTATAGTGGGCCAAGGTAATCTCTCTTTCCTTTAAGATCTTTGAAGGCTTTTCTGAGGTGTAGTGGGGGAGGTAATATATTTTATTATTTACCTACCTACCTACTTTTGTGCAGGAACTCAAAGTGACATACATAGTGCTCCCTTCTCCTATTTTTCCCTATAGCAACAACCCTGTGAGGTAGGTTGGGCTGAGAGAGTGACTGGCCTCAAGTCACTCAGGGAGCTTCCTTAACGAAAAGTGGACTAGACCCTGGGTCTCCCAGTTGCTAGTCCAATATCTTAACCACTACACCATGCTGGCTCTCACATAGAATATGGAATATAGAAGAAGACTTTCTCACTTATGGCCCCATGATATGATTTTAAAATTCCCTCTCTTTTATCATTTTGAACACTCTCCATAACAGCATTTAATCCTTTCTCCTTTTAGTAATTCTAGTGTTTGAGTATTTTTTCCTACTTCTATGATGCTGATGTTCAATTTTAATGTGATTCTGTTACGCTTATTATGTTTCAGTAAGTTCTTAGCTAACTGAAGAGTCTTTTATGTGAGAGGTGAAATAGAAATTTATAAATAACTCCAATCTTTTTTTCCCCACTTTATAACTTGTTTTAATTCAGAAGGAGACCTCATGGATTGTGAAGGAAAATCAGATACAAGTCCTGAACGAGAACCTATAGATGATGATCCTAAGGGAATGGAAGGAACTGATGGGATCAAAAAGAGAAAGAGAAAGCCATACAGACCTGGTAGAGTACATACTCCAGATGTTTGCATTGATTAGGTTTATATTTATTGACTATATATGTATACATAATCTTTTATTTAAAAATGAAGTTAATTAAGTGTTGTGGAGAATTACTCTCTCTGTTGTATACTGCAGCTTCATTTAATTGGTTTCAGTTCCAATATACTGCCTGATTATCAAGATGTATATCTAAAAGTTACCACACAGCAGGAGAATTTTTCTTTATGATGCTGTTAAATAGATAAATCTTGATAGTTTCCATGTAGGAGGTGTAAGCTTAGCACAGTTTGAAGATCAGAGATTTTGACAATATAGTTGGAGCTCAAGAGAGGTGTTCTTTTCTTCAGCTGATATTTCTGTTGATATAAAGGGCATAGTTGGATTTATATGGGCAACTCTTGGATTTCTTATGCAGGATATTGAAATCTTACAGATGGGAGCTATATCTCAGCAGGCAGAAATTATGGATATTCAATTTTAGTTGATTCTCTATTATCCTGCCCTAGGAAAGAATTCTTAGTATCTCTTACAGAATAACTTTATTTACAAAGGATATATCCAATTATAAAAAAAAATTTTGAGAGGTTCTAGCCAAATGTTTAATAAAAATATTAAACTAAATTTAATTATAGCAAAAGAAAACATGAAAACAGTGGGTTGTATATGTATTTTCCTATCTTTTTCTATTTTCATTTAAAGTAATTAATAATTATAATTAATATAATTATTCCAAAAAATAAAAATGACAATAGAACAAAACCTGACCTATACAATATGATAAGAATAAGTGTTACAGTTTTTAACACCATTTCAAAATTTCTTCTTGTCATGGAAAGTGGTATATAAATTGGATTAAAAAATAACATTCAGTCTGCATTCATTTGAAAGCTTCCTCCAAAATTGTATTCCTGTGTGAAAAAATAATTCTCAGACCTAATCTCTTAGCATTTTGTAAGGGCTCATTAAATACATTTTAATACCTAGAGTTGCCCTTAGTAGCTTTTTATGCACGAATGACCATGTGTCTACAAAACCTCTACATTCCTGGATGTTTCTCTTTATTTAAATAACTTTAAGCTGTGTAATGTGAATATACTTTTTTATAGGCATCGGTGGATTCATGGTACGCCAGCGGAGTCGTACAGGACAAGGAAAAATGAAAAGATCTCTCTCCAGAAAAGATTCTTCTGGTTCGGTGTCTGAGCAAATACCTAGCAGAGACGAAAGTGGGCATCCAACAATTTATTCTCATATTTCTATCTCACTGCCATGCCCTCTAATATATTATATTGTTAAGATTCATTTTAATGTAATTTTAATTCACTAGTAACTGGGGTTTTTTTTACCTCAACCTTTTTGCAAAAACCCAGTTCATTGTGATTCCTGAAGATATTACATGTTTGTATCCTTACAAAGTTGCCTCTCATTCCTAGTTTCATAAATATTAAGTTAGATTGGAGAAAATCATGCACTGTATTGGAGGTCTGCATTCTTACCTGGTTATCTTAGTAAGGTTCACATCATTTGATATCTGTTTTCTGTCTCTTGTCTTACACTGTATAAGGTACCATTTTTAAAGTACAGGCATTCTATAACAATAAATGTATACAGGACTTAGGAGATAATCGTTTCTGAAACAACTTCCAAAGAAACTCTGTGTCAGTCTAGAAATAAGCATTTCTTTAAAAAAAAAAAAAAAATCATACAGGGAGTCCCCGGGTTAAGAACGCCCAGGTTACAGACAACCCATAGTTAGCCCATAGTTAAGAACGGAGCCTGTTGTAGCAAAATTTGAGTTAAATACACAATGATTTGAGTTAAATACCCAATGGTTTAAGTTCATTACACAATACTACTTATACGACATTATACAGTAATACTTTTCCAGCTTACATACAAATTCAACTTAAGAACAGACCTTGGGAATGGAACTCATCCTTAAACTGGGGACTACCTGTACTTTATTGTTTTTCCTTTATCTCCTTTATTAGATATTTCAGAGGAAGAGTATAAACAAACAGAAATACAAATCTGTAAACAAAGGATTTTAAAATGTCATGGAGTTTACAGCTTTCCAATATGTCATTAATTACTTACGAAAAATTAAATATATCATTTTTTAAAATTAAGAATCACTATTAAACTTTTAATTGAAAATAAACATTAGGAATTGTCAACCCAGTATAAATCATCAACTGAAATTACAACCTGTAATATATTGAATCAATGCTGAGAATCTATTCTAATTTAAATATCCTGTGAAGTTAAAATATAGATTCTTTACAGAGAGAAATCCAAGTTTTGAATGAGGTATAAATCCATGTATTTATGGAGGTATAAATCCATGTATCCATGTTATAGTGATAGAGTCCAAGAAGCTTTTCCAGATTGAATTAAATTCTGTCATATTTACTTTTAAAGTACGAAGTTTATATTCTGAACTTAAAAGTATAGTTCCATAACTTTGTTAACCATTCTTACTAAAAACAACCACTGTAGTAAAAAGCATATAATATCCTTGTGGCAGTTCACATAGGCAAAGCTAGTATACTTTGAAGAGATGTATAGTTTAGTAAAGCTTAATAAAAATATTGCAGATTGAAATACGAATTGTTTGCATTAATATAAAAAAAGATGGTGAACAGGGGAAAAACAGAATAAAAATAATCCACTAGAAACAAATACTAGGGAGGCTTGGTGCCTTCGAGTCAGTTTTTGACTCCTGCCAACTGCCTGGACAAGTCTGCAGTTGCTCTGTAATTTTGTTGGCAAGATTTTTCTGAAGTGGTTTGCCCTTGCCTCTTTCGTAGGGCCGGGAGAGAGGGACTGGCCCAAGGTCACCCAGCTGGGTTCATGCCTAAGGCGGGACTAGAACTCACAGTCTCCCAGTTTCTAGCCTGATGCCTTAACCACTACACCAAGTTGGCTGAAATACTAGAAAGAATTAATGGCAAAGGAAGACTATCATAAAACAATATTTTTAAAAGTTCCCTAAAATACATTGGCATTATATTTTAGGCATCTTTTTAAAAAGGTCTATCTCTGCATCTTTTGAACTGTCAGTCTGAAAGCCATGGTGTATAGAGTAGGACCTCCCACCGGATTGCAGATATCGTTGAAGACACTTCCTTTAGGTTATGTCATTTTTACATTTACATTTTTAGAGCCTTGTATACTTTTACCTTCACATCACTTTTATCGGATGTTCAATTTTGACTTTTGTTATTTTCAGTTAGGAAAAGAATTAATCAATAACCCCCTTTCTGTACTTCAGATATAGACTAGAGTGAAATAGGATTGTAACATTGTATATGCTTGGTATTTCTAGGTTGGAGTGAACAACTGCCTGATACACCTGTTGATGAAACTCTTTCTGTTTCTGAAAATATAGAAAAAATTAAAAAACGTTACAGGAAAAAGAAAAATAAGCTTGAAGAAATTTTCCCAGCATATTTGCAGGTACTCTCACAGCTATGCAAAATATTTCCCCTAAGATCATTACTTGCCTGCAGTGGATAATCTATTTGTAGTTTAAGAAATTGCTTTATAATATGTAATCCATTAACACTAAGTGTTTTTAATAACACTCTTTCAGACAGATACTTGCTATTAAACATTGTATATTTACTTCCAATGTCCTAATTCTATAAACAGTATTGTTTTATTGTATTTCTGAAAAGTAAAATGTCTATATTAATGTGTTACTATATTATAATGTATAGAATACATTAATATAGATTTTATTATATTATAATAATTATATAATTGGTTAATTAATGTATTTTATAAAACAGTCTGGTTAGCTGAAAGAGTATTCTCTTTCTAGAATGAACACATTTTGTAGGTGTTACTGAATTAGCTAAGAAGCAATGAGGTTATTTAACTTTTTTTGTATACTCTTTAAACAATCTAAACTAATTGGCTTGGATTTAGGATAAATGAATGGAGGGAATTTCACGGAGGAACCTGTCCGATAAGTACCTCTTTGGAGGGTTGGTGTTGCCTTTAAACAGTGCAGAAAAAGATATAGAGGGATGTTGGGAGAAAACAAATCACATAAAGTTGAATGTTTCCTTCTGTCTATCTATCAATCAATCAATCTATCAATCAATCTATCAAATTTATAGGGCCACCCAACTCACAAGAAGTGAGTCTGGGTGACGTACAGCAAAAAAGTACGAAACAATAAACGTGTCAAACACAGTCATATTAACAAAAAAAAGCACACACAAGATTTGATCAGTAACGGAGCCGCCTCAAAACTTTTGCAGTCATGCTTTTAAATGAGAAGTGAAGAACTTCAGCAATTTTACATATAGAATCATAATTGGGTTAAATATGAGTGTGCTTTATAACAAGAACAGTTGCATTTACTAACTGTAACCTTAACCAATAAATATTAGAATCTAGTATTCAAATATAGGATTCCTGTAGCTTATGAGAAATTTCAGTTAAATGCTTGCTTGCTTATTTGTTTTAATTCCAGGAAGCTTTCTTTGGAAAAGAACTTTTAGATACCAGTAGGCAAAGTAAGCCAAGTTTGGATCATTTATGTGATGAAAGCCTTAGTATTTCATGCAAAGCAAGTCTGAACACCAATTTCTTAGACCCATCATCAGATCCCCTTCTGAGTTCAACTTCCACTCCAACTCCCTCAAAATCTGGTGCACAAGGTACACAAATCGGAAGTTATTTTGGCATGGGGTGGGCACGGGCATGGAGCAGAGGAGAGTCCTTGAAACCGATGAGTGCTGGAGGCCCTGCTGGAAGGGCCGTCAGTAAAAAGAAGACCTGCTTAATGTTGCAGTTACTCTTCAGAAGTAGACATGACCTACTGTCCTGGGTGGCTGAATGTCCCCCTACTGAGTTTTGAATGTTGCCATTCCTGATGTCATCTTTATTAAGCTTTAGTGTGAACTGTCTGATTTCTCAAGGCAACCTGGATGATCCATTAGCTGCCCTTGTGCTGAACACTGAGGATGACATCCTTGGCATTCTTTCGGATGATTTAGTGAAATCTGGGGATCAAACAGGTATGATTGTAAAGATGGTTCTGCATAATGTTCATGGTTATTGGTTCCTTATAATTGCAACATGCACTTATGGCTCCTTTTGATTCATATCATATATCTGAAGATGGCAAAAGGCAAATCATTTTGCTTTTGAACTTCTATATTTCTGCTTTGTTAGCTACTCTAAATATGTATACATGTATTTGTATATATGCATAATTTTTAAATATGCTTCTGTTAGCCCAAACTGTTATCTCTTGCTTTGCTTAATACATCTGTCCTTTGTTTTTCACTTTCCTTTATTGATCTGGGGATAACTTTCAGCGTCTTTCATATCCATGAACTATTTCAGCATGCAGCTATATACTTTTAATTTGTTCTTTCTTGCTTACTTCACTTTTTTTTTTTTTTTGTTATAATCATCCATTTTATCTGGTTTGGATCCTGTAGGTCTTGATTTATGCACTTTCCAGGTTGAGAACTCCTCTTCCCCTTTTGGTAAGGAAATGTACAGTGGGTGATTGGTGTTTAGAAGTAGTTCTCTTTCCTAATGGTTTTGGCTGATTTTTTTATGCATGTCCAGCGTAATAACTCTTCCGTCGCATCACTTTCTTTCATTTTTCACTACCTTTGTGCAGAGTCTTGCGCAGTGTAGAATGCCTGTCTGTATAGTGCACTTAGAAGAACTTGATTTTTTTTTAAAATGTTGTGAATAACTACAGAATTGTGTATGTATGCATTTCACAATATAAAGTAACACATTTCTCCTGTACTTACTTAAAGCATTTCCTGTCTCTCTTCGGAGTAGTGGACTTTTTTATTTACTTCATTGTAATATAAAAGCATGAAAAAAAACCCACTGGTTTTTAATTTAGCTTTGGAATGATAATTGCAAGTACAAGTAAGAATGCTGGACATAACGCCTAAAGTTGATTTTTAAAAAAGAGTGATTTTTGAAAAAATTTAAATGTATTATAAGGGCTCTAAAATTCTGCAGTACTTTCATTTCTGGTAAGTGTCCTGCTAAATGTCAGTCCTTCAGGGTAGGCCAGGTCAGGAAAACATGTACTGCAAAGACTACCAAAACTCTTCTTTATTGTTGTAAGTTATATCAGAATCTTGAAAGCCTGACTTTCCCTTTGCCCCCTCTTATACTAAAGAGAATCAAGTCAGGGTTTCCTTGAGTTTCTTTCTCGCCCCCTCTTCCTTCCCAGAGTTAAGTGGATATTTACCTAAATACTGTTGCATTCCTTCTTCAGCGTTAAAGTCCCCAGTTTAAGAACAGGTTCTGTTCCCAAGGTCTGTTCTTAAGTTGAATTTGTATGTAAGCCAGAACAGTATTATTGTATAATAC